CACTTCCTCTCAGATCCTGTCTGTAGATCTTGCACCCCGACACTGTAAAAGTCTGGTGATCTCACAGCCACACAGAGTCCCATGACTAATATTGGCAAAACTGGTTAAGATTTGCAACGTTTTTTGAGTCTTCTTAAGGCAGTAATGTGCATTTAAACATTCCAAAGCAGTCTCTGGACTGGGCGCCATTATCCCTGAAACACAGCAACTAGCGTTTTCATCACCAGCGAGAAAATGCCACTAAACACAGAGCAATTAGAATGTGCTTCATAAATGACAAAGGAAATTTGAGGAAAGAATGAGAGCCAGTCACAGGATTAGGCAGTGGCATCCCTCAGCATGATGGGAACGGGTACTGTCATTGGACGCTCACTAAAGCTTGACATTGCTAGTCAGTATCATTATATGGGACGAGAGAGTAGCAGCTGAGGCATATCTGAACCTCATACACCAATCTGGTGTATGGATTCACCATTCTGGTGTAAGGATATAGATACAATCTGGTGTAAGGATATAAGTCCTGAATACACCGATCAGGAGATCCTGGACAACAGGACTGAAGGACACCTGTCAAGATAACAGGTCCCAGCTGGTGACGAGTTAAGGCAGCGGTGTTCTTGATATGTGTAGCACAACCTGGCTAGCGGCCCACAAGCTACATTCCAACCACCGTTCTGGTGAACTGGAAAAATAAATCCCTGTGGCAGAAATTGTGGTTTTAGATGACTTCATTACAAGATGTCACTCTAAGAAGGAAGATCCAGCCTGGCGAACCTCACTTATGTAATCCGCATCGACGACAACCTTACAGTTCCCTTGACTTCATATTCATTGGAGGACATTTATACAGCTTATGTACAATAATTGTCAACAGGACGGCATGGAAATAACGTCTATTCCCACCGGAGAGTGGGAGGATCATGCCAGGATCTCACAGGAACAATGCCAGGATCTTATAGGAACAATGCCAGGATCTTATAGGAACCAAGACATTATATTACGACGACGTATTTTTTATGGACTGGAGATTGGCATGAAGCATTAAATAAGTTCATTGATGTTCAAAAGAGACACGACAGTCTGTCTTACTCACACATAAAATACGAGGAATTACAGATTTATTAATATGTAATATTTACAAACTTTCCATAACTACTACAAATATAAGCATGGAACCTTGTAGTAGTAGCGAGATGGCCTTTGTGTAGCGAACTCGGCCGTTGTAAGTCTGGTTCTTCTTTTCCCAAAGAATGCTGAATCAACTGTGGTAATGCCTACCTTGCCTTTTCTCAACTATGTTCACACTTAATTTGAAAAAGCCTGAAACGTCGAGACGTTATACCTTCTCCCAAGGCCAGATACCAAGTTCGGCGCCTTTTCCTCTATTCTGACATGATTCATGTTTGTCTAATGTGTCGCAATCCTCTACTCCATTATTCGTTTTTGGTCCCACTTTTGTAACCACTTCCAGGTCTTAAAGCTTGAAACCTCTACCAGCTCACCAGCTTCTCTTGACCCTTCGGGGTCTGAAGTGGTAGGCGTTCCTCTGCGTCTCCATCCCATGTTCCCATTCATACTTCTCTTGCTCACCGTATACCCATTACCTTCACACTCTTCTGTATACACTGTGAGCAGCCAAATATCCTCTTCACTGTTACGACCACACCTCCTTACCTTTCCCCGAGACAACGGAGTCTATCACATTGCACATTGAAATTACCAGACCTATCTTCCGGGAAGAAAGGTAAACCTGATCCCTCCCTGTATTCCTCCCGGACAGGCAAAAAGGCCTTGATCTCCCTTGTGGCTGTTTCCTCCCATCTCCGTAATGAAATTAACTGACCTTGTTATGGAAGTTCCAGATGTTCTCTGGTTAGAATGGGAACAGACACACATACACACATGGGGCCTCGTAGCCTGGTGGATAGCGCGCAGGACTCGTAATTCTGTGGCGCGGGTTCGATTCCTGCACGAGGCAGAAACAAATGGGCAAAGTTTCTTTCACCCTAAGTGCCCCTGTTACCTAGCAGTAAATAGGTACCTGGGAGTTAGTCACCTGTCACGGGCTGCTTCCTGGGGTGTGTGTGTGTGGTGTGGAAAAAAAAAAAAAAAAGTAGTAGTAGTTAGTAAACAGTTGATTGACAGTTGAGAGGCGGGCCGAAAGAGCAAAGCTCAACCCCCGCAAAAACACAACTAGTAAACACAACTAGTAAACACACATGCTGGAAACAGCAGCTGAAAAAACAACTGCACTAGTCAGCTGCTGGAGAGGAAAAGATCAGTCGTAGTAGTGGGCATTAAAGAACAGAATGCCTCCAGTAAGACTGAATGGATTGATAAGGGAAATGAGGCAGTGAGAGGGATCTTACAGGGGTTACAGATGGAAAGGGATGGACCAAGCATAGAGAAAGTTTTCAGGCTAGGCTGGTACAACAAGGACAGAGATCGCCTAATAAAGAGTATGTTTGCAAATGAGATCCCAAAGGAGGGAATTCTAGCAAGGAAGAGCCATCTGTATCATGTGAGTGGTTACAGGCAATTATTCTTCCAGAGAGACATGACGAGGGAAGAGAGAGTAATGGCAGCAGAAGCAAGTAGGAAGCGCAGGGGGTGAGGAGAGAACCAGGGAACCACACCCCCTAACTAAATAGTCTCGGAGGGGAGTGGGGAACTCCCAACCAGCACCCCAGTAACCACAGAGGAGAGAACAACACCCCAATCTTCCTCCCAATAGAAACCCCCCCTTACTCTGAACCCTCCCTGTACCCCTATTTCCCCTCACCCCTTGCCCTCCCTGTTCCTCTTCTCACCCCAAGCTTTCCCTGTCCCTTCCCCCGTATCACCCCATGCCCTCCCGGTCCAACAAATGGCTACTAAAGTCCAACCAAGTAAATGTTATGTGATGAAACTAGGCGGAGGACATAGGCCAGACACAGGATACCAAATGGGAGATGAAGTCCTTCATGAAACGGACAGAGAGAAAGATCAAGGAGTTGATATCACACCAAACCTGTCTCCTGAAGCCCACATCAAAAGAATAACATCGGCGGCATATGCGAGGCTGGCTAACATCAGAACTGCCTTCAGGAACCTGTGTAAGGAATCATTCAGAATACCCCATATGTAAGCCCAAGCCTGGAGTATGCAGCACCAGCATGGAGCCCATACCTTGTCAAGCACAAGATGAAGATGGAAAAAGTTCAGAGGTATGCCACTAGGCTAGTCCCAGAACTAAGAAGCATGAGTTATGAGGAAAGGCTGTGTGAACTGCACCTCACGTCGCTGGAAGACAGAAGAGCTTGGGGAGACATGATCACCACATATAAAATTCTAAGGGGAATTGACAGGGTAGACAAGGACGGATTATTTAACACGGGTGATACACGCACAAGGGGACACAGGTGGAAGCTAAGTACCCAACTGAGCCATAGAGACACTAGAAAGAACTTTTTCTGTGTCAGAGTAGTTAGTAAATGGAATGCACTAGGAAGTGATGTGGTGGAGGCTGACTCCGTACACAGTTTCAAATGTAGATATGATAGAGGTGGAGAAGCTCAGGAATCTGTACACCGGTAGATTGACGGTTGAGAGGCGGGACCAAAGAGCCAAAGCTCAACCACCGGAAGCACAACTAGGTGAGTACACACACACCCTCCTCTTGCCTCTGGCCTCCAGTCTCCAACGACCAAAAAAAAAAGGATTTTATATAAAGAGTTTTCAGATTTTTTCCGGAAAATCAGATTGTTAGAACAAAATCAGGTACGGCAGCGATGACGAGAGGACAAAGGTGGACAGTTTTGCGGATGGGGGGGGGTAGTTATTTATTTAAAAAATAATTATTAAATAACATTAACAGACGAGACTGTCCTGCAAATTATGCCAGAAGCTACGAGATTTTTACAGAATTTTTCTATATTTTTCGATTTTTGATCAAAATATATCGAATTTAAAAGCACCTGGCCCCTCCAGTTTGCTGGCCTCAGGAAACCCTCGTGTGTCCAGTAAAACTACAAGTTGCCATCCTTTTGACCATGTCGTGGCCTGGTTGTCTGAGGCGTGTGTGTGGGAGCACATACCGCATTGGTTCCATTCCTCATCATATCGAATACTAATGAATTAAGACATGTTAATGTATAGCCCGTCTTCTAAACAAAGACCCAAAGTCCATTCCATGGACCCGCCAAACCCCAGCTGTTTATGAATGAAAAACGGTTTACACACGACTCACAACTGATGACATCCGAACACTTCTGGAACAAGTACTTCGCTGACGAATTTTGTTCGAACCACAACGCTGTAAATGCTTCACCCACGTACTACAAATACAAATAATCTCCAACAGAATCTAAACACCTAACCAATGTCTAAATATGAACAATATGCAAATATATAATAATAATATTAATTTATGCAGAAAATCAGAGACACAGACACAGATTTTCTGCATACAAATGATCAGTGTTTCGTGATCGTCAATTGCATATTAATTTATATTTGAGAAAATTCCTATTTTGAATGAACAGAATTTTAAAATTGATTAATGCGTCTTTGGGGTCGGCCACTGGATGGAATGGACTTGGACTGAGGAAGGGTAGTAATGTACCAGGTACCGGGAGCTAAGTAAATCCGATACCAGTCTTTATTTAAAGGCATCTACTGGTGGACGCTATTCATTTGTTAGTGACACAGTTATTACCCCACAATACCTAACGCAACTATCCGTGTATTAATGCTATACAGGACCGTCCAGCAAGATGCCAGACCTAACTACAACGTTAGTTGTGATGAGTTCATAGCGATAAATAATGATAAACATTATGAGAATTACTTGATATTCTTCATTTCACTATTGAGAACGGTACCCCCATTTTTGAAAGCCTAATATAGAATATGTTTAAAAATAAAAATTGAAAGCAAAATATCAATGTGAACTCAGATGCAACTCTCAGTTTTTTCAAAACCTTCTTTAAAATAATTGTAAAGACCTTTGAACTCCTTACCTCATTCTTAATGTTCTCGGGGATGTACCATATCAGTTTCTTTTGCCCTGAGGATGAGCGGCTGATGTCGTAGGTGCAGGTGAGGTTGACCGGGCGGCCCTCCAGCACGTCGTAATTGCCCTCACTCTCCCCCGTTGCTACGCGGTTGATCTGCCAGGCGTCGGGGACCTCTACGGTGGGTCTGTCCAGGACCTCCTCATGTTCTGCCGGTGAGCACAGGTGTTAGGAACAGGCACACGGAGGGGTAATGGCAGGTGTTAGTAGCACACAGAGGGGGGTAGCGACAGGTGTTAAGAGTGGTAATGGATCGTGTAGATAGCACACACACACATGGTTCATCACACAGGTTTTGGGAGGAAAGATACAGACTGCAGATGACATGTGTTGGGAGAGTTTGTGGAAGGAGACTTCCGTCAACACGTGTTGGCCGCGTTCATAGACCTGGGTAATCCATTTGAACAATTAACCCTTGAAATGCATAAAGACCCCTTCTTTAACAAATATCCCTTGATAATGCTTAAACATCTTTAACAAAATCATATGAAAAATGTAACAGATGTATTTGAAACACAGATTGATAAACATGAATGTCCAGCAAGAAACATATATACAGCTGATAAGATGTGTAACTTTAATGTATTAATTGGTGAAAAATATATACTTAATATAGGTTATTGAATAAATGTACCCTATGCTTGGGACTTAAGCATAATAAAGATAAATGAGAAGACTTACTTTGATAAATGTATTAAAAAGTATGTAAAGACTAGATGTCATAGACTTTCCTATAAACAATTTAAAAAGTATGAAGAAATATAAAATAAGTAAAGGTTAGGAGGGGTGTGTTAAGCTAAGATGTACATAAAATGCTGATTGGTTGGTGTACAAGGAAAAATATATGGGATTAAGAATAGGTTAGGTTAGAGTTTTTTTTGGATTAGATTAGGGAAAGATGCTCAAATAACACTTTACCAAGAATAATAGAGATTGAAAGGAGAACAGAGGGACATGATAAGTAATTAAGTAATAAGTAAGTAATTATCAAAAGAAGGCACCAAACTGGGAAGGCTATGTAGCACCATGATAATAAGAATGGGCGAAGATAATTAAATAGTTGAATGTGTGTTTGTGTAATGTTCTGAAATTAGTGTTTGTGTAAGAGTTTCTCAAAGTGTCCAAGTGTTTGTAAGAGTTGTGCTAGTTGGTCTAAGAGTGTATATGATCTGTGTTAGCACATAAATGTATTTACATGTTTAACTAAGTTTATGGATTTTGTGCAGTTCGAGAAAGAGAAATTAATGAACTGAGAGAATGTGTGCATGTACAAATCTGTGTTTGTGAATGTAATTATACGTGTGTAAGTTTCTACATGTTTCGTACATAAGGTATGAAAGTTCAGGTTTGTCTCTGTAAGGGTAAAAGAATGTTGTCTGTGTAAATAAATGAGGAGTTTATGTTTCAGAGAGAATAAGATGATGCTTTAATTAAATTATGTTAAGTTTTTTAAACTTTATTCAATGTCAACAAATCTTTTTTGACCAGTTCTATATGCAAAGGGCTGCAATTGTTCCAAGTTTCAGTACTGCAGCCTAAATAGAAAGGGAGATATATTTTTGTGTTTTTTTAACGAATATTACACATTTTTCAGCAAGTTGTTACAGCCACAAGTTTCAAATATAATCATTCTATGACACTTTTCTGACTCATTAGCATATAATAAAGGATCTTTTGCCACGGATTTTCCAAAATATGTTTAGTTTTACTAATACAAATAGTCAAAGTTCGACCCCAAAATTATGCAAATATATCATGTTTATTTGCTTATATAATCAATAAATGTACTTAGGAAAAAACGCTGGCAAATAATTTTAGAGACAAACTTTACATATAAGGTGTAAGTTTCATGTAAATTGAATAAAAATTAAATGGTAAGACAGTGGTAAGAATTAGTGGTAAGACACTCGCCTGGCGTTCCGCGAGCGCTATGTCATGGGTTCGTATCCCGGCCGGGGAGGATTTACTGGGCACAATTCCTTAACTGTAGCCTCTGTTTAACGCAACAGTAAAATGTGTACTTGGATGAAAAAACGATTCTTCGCGGCAGGGGATCGTATTCCAGGGACCATAGGATTAAGGACTTGCCCGAAACGCTACGCGTACTAGTGGCTCTACAAGAATGTAACAACTCTTGTATATATCTCAAAATAAAGAGTAGGGACTACGTTTATGTTACTTGAAAAATAAATAATTAAAAACTAAAGTCTAAGGTGCTGCCATCTGTGGCTGAGGTTGTCATGAACCAATTTCCTCCAAAATTGGCACCCTTACAGATAGGCTTACGTGCAGTCAGGTGTATAAGTATCATGCAAATTGTCCAATAAACAAATAAGAGAAAAAAAAAGATAATTTTTTTTAACTATTTTTTGTTTTTTGGATAAAACTAATTATTAAATATTTTTATTATATGATAGTGTGATAGCCGAGAGTCATAGACATGGTTTCCGTTGACACTTGTGTTTGATGTTAATTTTTGTCCATTTTGGAAAATTAATGACACATAATTCAATATTTTTTTTCTCCCTTTGTATTTATACTACGATGGACCAGATGAAGCCCTTTTTATATACAACTAGTCAAAAAAGTTTGATTGAAATCGAACTAGTTTTTATTTATTGCATATTTTTGGCATATCTGGAACTGATGCCCCCTTTAAGTTAGGTTTGGTAAGCTATATAAGTTATGTTTGGAGAGGTAAGTTATGTCAGTAGGATAGGTTAGGTAAGTTACATTATTAAGTAATGTGAGTTAGACCAAGTTAGGATGGATAAGTTATGTCAGGTAGGATAGGTTGTGTAAGTTCTATCAGGCAGGTGAGGATATGTAAATTGGAATACGTAAGTTAACTTCCTAAGTTATGTAAGTTAGGTCAGGTCAGGGTTGGTAAGGTACATCAGGTAGGCTATGTTATGTTAAGAAACTTACGTAAATAATAAATGATAGATATGTTGCAGAGAGATGAGGTATTTTGTGTCATAATAAATGTTAATTACAAGTTTTGATTGTAAATTTCTTAGTGGAACTGTGACTGCTACATAAAAGATAGTTGTTTTACTCATTTATACATTATGCATAAGTTTATTAGTACATAAAGTTGCACATGTTTAGTTTGATATTATTTAAAGTTGTTTGCAACTACATAATGACATGCCTTAGTAAGTTATATTACTACATAAAAAGTAATGGTAAGTTTACGAAAAAAGTTACCCCCTTGACTACTTATTTATTGAATGAAGAATGATGTTTGTTAGAGTGGGAGTATTATTTGATGCACAAAGAAACTCTAAAGAGTAATTCTTTTATATAAAGACTGTTTAAAGAATGCAAATGATAATAAAATTATATCTGAACGTATTATTGCCATTTTAGAGAGTTTCTTTTAATGCTTAAAGAGTATATATGCCCGAAACGCTTTGCGTAATAGTGGCTTTAGGCATTGTATGTACTAGCTCTATCTATAACACGATCAGTCTTTGTAAAATCTCTTGTATGTACCTTACCTAAATAAACATTTATTTATATTTTATTATTCATAATGTTTACGAGATTACCTTTTGATTACTTGTAACCTTTTTGATTCTGATAATAACTTTGATGTCTATAAGAATAACTCTGACGTATCTGAGTGTAACATTGTTGTCTTTAAGTGTGTCATTGGAGACTAAAGATGACATGTGAGAATCATTTGATACATAAAGATGTCTCCGAGAGTAACGTTTCCTTAGAAATTACCTTTGACTATTTTTTCTTACTCAGCTGTGCATAATGATAGTTAAAAAAGTGGTGAAAGATTCTTTTGACTACTTTTGGAACGAAAGAAAAGTTATTTTAGTAAAGAAATGATGAAAAGATGTTACCTTAAACTTATTTGAGCGTGTCCTTAGTTAATATAAGATAAGAAAAGAATATCTAAGTAAATTTAATACTACATAAAAGGTAATACTAGTTAATAAATAATGTAAAGATGATGTATTTGACTATTTGTTCGAAGTAAAGAAGAGTTATTTTAGTTAAGAAGAGTGTTGAATGACTCCTTTGACTATTTTCGAAGGAACGAAGAGTTATTTTAGTTAAGATGTTACAGATGTTACAGATGTTATACAGATGTTACACTTGGCTATCGTTAGTTAAGTGAAGAGTGATTTTAGTTAAGAAACGTGTTACTGCATAAAGCGTAGTTTTGCTTAAGATTAGTGTTGGAAAGAAATAATTGGTTGTTAAGGAGAAATATATTGATATAGCTGATTGTAAATAGACCTCGGTAAATGACTAAATAAATACTTTGTAATAAATATTTTGTAACTAAATATGTTTGGGGGAAGTAATGCAGTTAAGCATACATAACAATGAACTATTTACTAAATGACAGAAATAATCGTACATTTTAATTTAAATAAACAGAACATATATAAGAGAACATGCGGGTAACACAGTGAACATGCAGGGGAATATGAATCGAACTTGCAGAGAACATGAAAACATGCAAAGAATATATAAAGAGTATACAAAGACTGAACAAAGAACTTGTGAAGAATATTATGAGAACATTATGAGAACATGACAAAGAACACAGAGAACATGAGGGGAATTTTGTAGAGAATATGCTGAGAACATGAATAATGAGTAAAAAGTTGTACAGAGAATAGGCTGTAAACATGGCGAGAACACACAAATAGGCTATAGTTACATTTCAAATTCTTGTGGTGCAAAGTTGAGAATGGATCTGGGCGAGTGAGAGGTGAGGGGTGAGGGAGGGGAGCTAGGGGTAGGAGGGAAATAAGTGAGAGGAAGGGTGTGGGGGGAAGGGGGCCATGGAGGGAGGGAGGGAGATAAAGTGTATATGTTTTAAATCTTGAGGAAATTGTTCAAATAATAGCGGAGTTGTATGAATGAAGTAAGGCGGGGACAAGAGCCAGAGCACATTATTTGCTTTTGATTTATTTTACAACATCTGAGAAACAGCGGGTTTAAATTTCAGGGAAAATGGACCATAGTAGCGAATTTACGAGATGGGCCTAGGGCAGAGGATGGAAGCTGGAACTCAATAACCTTATTTTCCTTACTTACTACGTCAGAAATATGACGCGAAATGTGGGCTATTATTTACACAACTACACTTATAAACGTATAGCACCGGATCAAAGAA